GGCTAATACAGTGATTTTCAATCTTGGCAACTTGAAGATGCGCAGACTTCAGCTCCCAGAATGCCCCAGCCTGGGAGCTGAAGTCTGTGCATCTTCAAGTTGCCAAGATTGAGAAATGCTGGTCTAAAAATATTAACCATAAATGTCGGGAGATCCATTAGCCTGGTGTGCCTTGCCAGTCAGAAGCTGAGCTGGAAAGATAGACTAAAAACATCTTTATCACAAGCAAAAAAAGGCACCTCACCTATTTGAGGAGCCCTCTTAGAAAGGCGGAGAATCACTTCATATACAGTTCAAACACATCAGTTAACACCATTCGCGATATCTCTGACATAGCACGCAAGCTCAGAGGTTGTAGCATGTAACATGTAACATCCCATAATTCCTTAGTATGATCTTGTTAATGGTCGTCAACATGTTCAGGAGGTGTGTTTCTCACATTGTGATGAGGGATGATGAGTTTGCAAGTAACTGAAGTTAAAGTCAGTCTTTGAGAAGTTAAAGTCAGTCTTTGAGATGCTTGAACAGTTTTCTTATCAGGCTGTATATAGCTTTCTTTGTTCCTTGAAGAACTAAAAACATCAATCAAATAAACTCCTAGTTACTGAAAACATTAATCAAACAGCCCCCCCCCCCTGCTGCTGTCAGTAACATTGGAGGAGAAATGCATCCACCTAGCAATTTCACAGCTAAATACACATATGGCTAATAAATCATAAAATAGCTATCTCCATGTTAGCAATACAGCCAGCCCTGTAAGGTAGACCACGTCAGGAAACTGATCCATAAGGAGACTAGAACTATATTGAGATGAACCATAGTAACAGACTCTTGAAAACCTGCATGTTCCCCCTTCTCTCCTTCTTATACCTCAGGAAATCAGTCTGAATCTTTTTAATATGTTTTTCCACTTCCCTGGACTTACGTTTCTTTAGAATCTCTTGTTTGTCCTAATGGCTTCTGGATTCCTGTTCCAAGATCATCTCGCTGGCTCCCTGCAGGGACAGATGGGGCTAAAGAAGCCTCTCTCTGTGCAAGTAGGGCTGCCTTGCGTACTAACAAATTGTGGATAGTGCCTTCAATAGGGCAAGCTTTCAATTTCCCCAGGTGATTTAGAAGAAGAGGCAAAATCTAACACCTTGGTTAGGTGCTCCCACCTTGCGGTCTGCGGATGAGAGTCAGTTTCAAAACAGAGATTGTTTGGTTAGACCAAGGGTAGGCAACCTTGGCTCTTTTATGACTCGTGGACTTCAACTCCCAGAATTCCTGAGCCAGTATGGCTCAGCATGGAAACCTCTCCCTTTGCCCTCAGCATGGCTGGCTCAGGAATTCTGGGAGTTGAAGTCCACGAGTCATAAAAGAGCCAAGGTTGCCTACCCCTGGTATAGGGTTTCCTGCTTGAGCAGGGGGTTGGACTAGAACAGGGCTTTTCAACTAGTGGTACGGGTACCACCTGTGGTACATTGGCACCTGGCAGGTGGTACGCGACCATCCTAAAAAAGTGGTAGCGGGGGAGGGGAATGAGCTGAACCAGTGGCAGTACCGCACAAGCCTGAGCGAGAGATGGCTGGAGCTGCAGGGCTCAGCGGAAGCGCCAGGATCAGTGCCGCTTTCCAACTGATTGGCGCTTCTTCGGGACTGTCAGGGCTCAGTGGAAGTGCCAGGATCAGTGCCAGGCTCCAGCTGGAGCTCAGCGCTGATCTTGAACAGCTGCTGGAATTGGGTATGTCTAGTTCAGGGGTAGGCCACCTTGGCTCTTTTATGACTCGTGGACTTCAACTCCCAGAATTCCTGAGCCAGCCATGCTGAGGGGAAAGGGAGAGGTTTCCAAGCTGAGCCATGCTGGCTCAGGAATTCTGGGAGTTGAAGTTGAAGTCCACGAGTCATAAAAGAGCCAAGGTTGCCTACCCCTGGGTTAGAATATAGTGGTTACTAGAAGATACTAGTGTCCGATGCAGGTAGCATTTAGGGACAACAAGTGTATCATCTTTACTCTGCCTCTGTTTCCTTTCCCCAAGCTCTGACAACACGACAGATGTCATGTTCTTTTAAGGAATACATTTGTGATATCAACAGGCCTCATGTCCTTGTTATATTATGAGTAGCTTTCCGAAAACCGATGGTGGTTGGCTAGGTGAGGATGGTGGGAGCTGTACCTTTGACACATCTGGAAGGTCCAGGTGGAGGAAGGTTCTTGTGAACAGGTGCCATGACCCAAAAGCAAAGCAATTCTGCAGATGTGGCTTAGTTGCACGATGACAACCGTCCAACCGGGCCTTGCAGCACATGCCAAGGCCCTGTTGACTGGCTTGTCATTTGTGTCCCCAGACTGAGCTCACTAAGCACGATCTATGAGCCCTGTTGAGCAGACTGGATATGTTTTTGGATAAATCTCGGGTTGGTTTAATTCAACCCTATGAGGAGTCTGGTGCTATTGTGGGAGTGAAGCTCATAAGGCCTGGAGCAAAGCTGTGTCTCTTCACTCAGCCTTGCCAATTTGTAATTAGGGACATTAAAATAAAAATTTGGCAGGTCCAAGTGCCTGGTTTCTCCCTGGAAAGACGGGCAAAGGAATTGTTTCCTCAGTGATAAGATGAAGTGTCCTTGCACCCTGACCGTTCCTGGCACGGGGAAAGAGAGAGCCGTGTCAGTCACACACTGTGCGTCCTGGGAGTTGGAGACAAAGAGGCAGTTGTGATCCGGCATCGGTCAATTGACGACAACCGTGTGCACCGGGTGGGTGATTCAGAGATTCATTGTAAAGACAAAGGCTGCAGAGAAACATTCACTCTGGCTGCTAAGGCCTTACACTCCAGAGCTGAGAAAGAGTTTATTGTCCTCGTCGGAGTATAAATATTTCTATATGTTGGGAGGGTAGCATTGAATATGTCATTGGCCCTGGGACAATTTACTGGGAGTTATCACATCCTCCAGCTGCCCAAACCTTTACCTCTAACCTTTATTTGTAAACATGGAGTAACCATAGAAACGGATACATTGCCCCAAGTCAAATCTTCTTAACCATGATTAGCAGAATGAAATGCAATTGTAGGGCATCTACACAATACTTTGTCATAAGCCATGCTGGTTGGATTCATACAGTACTCTAAATAAAGACCAAGCAATTTGTGTTACATCTTTATCCAGTGTAAGAATTCAGTGAAAGTGTAGGACAGTGATGGCGAACCTTTTAGAGACCGAGTGCCCAAACTGCAACCCAAAACCCACTTATGCATCGTCGAGTGCTGGGTGGGTGTGGCCCATTGGCTGGGTGTGGCCCATTGGGTGGGTGTGGCCCATTGGGTGGCCCTGGCTGCAGTGGTAACGGCAGACTGGGTGGGACTAAAAAGTTCAATCAATCAATTCCAACTTTGCAAGATTTTTTTTTCCGCGAGAAGTTGAAATTGACTGATTGAACCTTTCTTTTTTTTTTTTTTTTGCACACAGTGGCAGAGGCCTAAAGCGAAAAGGTTTTATAAAACCCAGCTGAAGGCCTAGGACTGGGGTGACAGTGCGCGTGCCCACAGAGAGGGCTCTGAGTGCCGCCTCTGGCACCCGTGCCATAGGTTCGCCACCACTGGTGTAGGATGAAGACAGCCAGTATTTCAGTGGAGAAACATGGGCCTCGTTGGTGACAGGAGTTGAAATGTTGGCTTATTTGATGCCTTTGGATGGATAGGTAGTACTTCTCATTGAGCTACTTTCCTAAGTTACATCAAACATACAAAGATTCTCAAGAGCCGTGGTGGCGCAGTGGTTAGAATGCAGTATTGCAGGCTAATTCTGCCCACAGCCTGGAGTTTGATTCTGACTGGCTCAAGGTTGACTCATCGTTCCGAGGTCGGTATTGCCCCAGATTGTTGGGGGCAATATGCTGACTCTGTAAATCGCTTAGAGACGACTGTAACGCACTATGAAGCAGTATATAAGTCTAAGTTCTATTGCTATTCTAAGGATGCTATTGGAGAAAGGGAAACTAGGGGGAAAAATGCAAGAGGGTGTTACGTAAAATATTTCTTCCTGGTTTTTCACTTTTAACATTTTTAAATTTTTTATTAAGAAAATTTAAACGGCTGTCCAACTCAGTCATGGTGACTCCAGGTGGCTTACAGAAGTAAAACACTTAAAGTAGCTGAATGAAGCCATAATGGGTTCACACAGTACACTAAGCTAATCCAAACAAACCATTTGCCGGCTTCACCTGATTATCCCATCTTCTTGACAAGTACAAAACCGGTACAGATAAAAGCATCTTTACAAAAATAAGGATGGCATTATTTTTTCCAAATAATGCATTGCAAACCAAAATACAGAGCGCATCTTGTGCCACAGCGACCCCTAGTGTCACAGTGGTGCACTGTAGCTAGCAGCCATTGCCCAAATTGGCACTGAACCAGGGGTTTTTTTGGGGGGGGGGAAAGTGTAGTGTTTTTAAGCAGGGGTCTTCAAACTTGGCCCTGTAATGACTTGTGGACTTCAACTCCCAGAATTCCTCAGCCAGCGTGCCTGGCTGAGGAATTCTGGGAGTTGAAGTCCACAAGTCATAAAAGGGCCAAGTTTGAAGACCCCTGTTTTTAAGGAACCCTGATTTATATTTTGGAAGAGAGAAAAAGGGCCCAATCCAGCCCAGCAATCCTGCTTGATCTGCTATAGATCAATTTGCAGATCATTGGCCGTAGTAGGTTAGTTGTAAATATCACCTTAGGAGGCCTTTAGGTGGGATACCAAGTATGCTGGCTCAGGAATTCTGGGAGTTAAAGTCCACGAGTCATAAAAGAGCCAAGGTTGCCTACCCCTGCTCTAGGTGATGGAAATTGTGCACTGCCTTCTCTGTGTGATGCTGCTTAGAGAAGCACTATATTCAGCTCCACCAACCTTAACCCTTCCTTTTATTAAAGCCCAGGCTGTATCTGAATGTATACTGTAGTCAGTCAATATGTTTATTAATCAGCAATCCACACCTTCTTTTCCTAAGGTGTCCACCAAAGTTCACACACCATCTAGACCACAGTAGTTTCTGGTTTCTTCCTGCAGGACTCGATTATGCTGAGAAACATCAGGAACACAAGGAATATGGAGAGGCCCACCACCAATGCCTCAATGATGGAGTAAGTGTGAGCCAGCTCCCCTGGTGGGCTCACCGCACCAGGAGAAGTGACTAAAAACTTGCCCGCTAAATGTCCATTCACGAAACACTGGTACAAAGTGCTGTGTGAATTGTTCTGGAAGGAGAGGTGTAGGATCCCACCACCAGTGGCTTTGTCCAGGCTTTGGGAACTTCTGGAGAAGTTGAAGTTCTGAAGTTGAAGGTGTGTCAACGTTGTGAGACCTACCTGCCAGTAGACAGGGCTGCAGAAGGCAAGAGACAAAGTCATTCATACAAGACGAGGAATCAGACATCCATCCCAAAAGCATTATGAATAAAAGCAAAGGATTGGAAGCCAACGGATGCCGTATTTTTTTTTTTAATGCCCAGATTGCTACAGGAATAGCTTGGGTTCATCTCAGGCCAAGCCATAGTTTGTCGACCAAACTGCAACTGACAGGATTCAAACCCCATGCAAAGTTAATGGTTTCCAAGCCATGATACTTTGGTTCAGATAGCACTCTGAAGTACCAATCCCCTAAGCCAGGGGTAGGTGACCTTGGCTTTTTTATGACTCGTGGACTTCAACTCCCAGAATTCCTGAGTTGAAGTCCACGAGTCATAAAAGAGCCAAGGTTGCCTACCCCTGCCCTAACCACACTGAGATTGAATGCAATGCCTTTTCTTCATCGCAGAAAAGGCTTTCTGTATAATGCAATTTTTGAGGAGTTTTTATATTAAAATATTCTAAAAATGAATGATTCTGCCCAACCGGCTATCTTCTCAGCAGACAGTAATATTTAGATTGCAACAACTACTGCAGCAAATGAAGGTGGCAGTTTTTGTTAACAACAAAAATTGGCAAACTTATACATTTGTACCACCTTGATTTTATATCAGAGGTGATTGTCCTCGACGTACGCGCCCAAAATTTCTGTTGCTAAGTGAGACATTTGTTGAGTGAATTTTGCCCCAGTTTACGATCTTTCTTGCCACATTTGTTAAGTGAATCCCTGCAGTTGTTAAGTGAGCTTCCCCATTGACCTTGTCAGGTCACAAAAGGTGGATCACATGACCTTGGGACACAGCAGCCATTATAAATATGAGCCAGTTGCCAAGGGTCCGAATTTTGATCACGTGTTCATGGGGATGCTGCAAAAGCCGTAACTGTGAAAAATGGTCATAAGTCACATTTTTCAGTGCCGTTGTAACTTTGAATGGTCACTAAATGAACTGTTGTAAAGTTACGGACTACTATATTTCATATCCTTGAAAAATCTCCCCCTATGCTGCCTATTCAGTGAAATTTGCACAATATGCTAAGTGATAATGGGATTGCTGCAATATTAGCTCAGTGTCTTGTATAAACCCAGCCAACGTGATTTGCAAACACCGGTTTATAGATTAGTTTGATATAACTCTTGCTTATTTATCATTCAACAAATTATAAAAAGGTTTAGAAGAGGCAAGCAATCTTTTCATGCAAATAGGGTCTTCATTTTTTCTTGCTTCCGTCCTTTCAGAACTATACAGATGGAGCGAAGGGGATTGATATTTTCATTTCATTTTTTTATTTTTGCAGGTGTCCTGGCAGGAGGGGGGGGGGAAGGTGTTCTCTGTAAAATAGATATTTTAGCAGATGCTTAGCACACTGATATTCTCACAAAAAGGAGCAAAACCACATCTCTAAAAATAACAATGTGCTTCAGGGGCTGGAAAAACTGTACGGTACTGGGGCCCACAATTCATAGGTTACTCATTCTGGCCTAGAACAATGCTTGAATCTTTTTTTTTCAGTTTACAGATATACTGTAGCATTTCTCTTTTCAAATAATGCTTAATTGCCCATCGGCTTATCTATGTCTTCATTTGTTGGTCCATCAATTCATCCTAGAACCACAACAATTTGGGGGGTCCTGAAACAGCAGGTAACAGCCTTGGCCAGCCATAGCTCTGAGTTGTGCATTGATTCTGCCTGTTCCTGGTTACTCATGCCTTAGTCACCTCCTACACGGATTTCTGCAAGGCACTCTACATGAGGCTGTCCTGGAAGCTTCAGCTGATAGTATTGGTGAAAATGTTTCTTGATCTTGGTAATATTCACTGGGGTGTTCTCAGCTGCTCAGTTATTTTATGTTACCTCTGTGGTTTTAAACTTAGTTGGTTTTTATTATGATTTAAAACTGTTAGCCACCTGACAGAATAACAGAGTTGGGAGGGACCTTGGAGGTCTTCTAGTCCATCCCCCTGCTCAAGCGGGAGACCCTCCAGGGGTAGGCAACCTTGGCTCTTTTATGACTTGTGGACTTCAATACCCAGAATTCCTGAACCAGCCATACTGACTCAGGAATTCTGGGAGTTGAAGTCCACAAGTCATAAAAGAGCCAAGGTTGCCTACCCCTGCCCTATACCATGGGTGTCAAACTTGCCGCATCACGTGACATGTTGCGACGTATCACGACTTTTTTTTTGCATTGCCAGAGCTGGGGTGGGCACGGCTTCCATATAAGCCCAGACAAGGATAATCAGATGTTACCACCTGGAGAATAATAGGACAATTCAAAGGACATGCCATTGAATTGCTTGCTCTGCTAACATTAGCTTTGGCTTGGCCCTAGCTCAATCCTTGAGCTCCTGCAGCTGTTTCTATTATGTGTGCTTCATTCAGTTTCTCCTGGTTATTGGTTTTTTTTAAAAAAACAGTCTTGCTGCAAGTAGCAGAACTGGAACTCCATCTGCTTTGCGAAGGTGAAAGGTTCATGTAACTCGTCAATGTTTAACTTGCTTTTTTTCTTTTTACAATGTACAGAGATACAAGCAAAACCAAGAGAACTAAATCAACATTTCCTGTTTCTCCTGTTCATGGTGTTAAGGCTGCTGGTGACAGCCTAAGTGGTGGAACCAATTAAATTTGGATAAGGAAAACTGGTATCCTGAGTGCACTAATTTGACAAAGTTTGCTTCTGGGAAAAAAAACCCCCACTATATAATTAAGTGTGGCGAAAATAATAGCTGTATTGTATTAAGATGCCTCTAGGTGATTGCAAAAAGCTAGCAAGAATTTGGACTCCTTAGGAATAATAATAAAAACATTATTAGATGGATTTGGAGGAAACAGCCTTGTGAATGGCTTACAAATATCACACGATTTTTGATACTTCCCTTTTTCAGCTAAAGATCATGCAGGGAATGTTTATGGAGAAAAGGAACAACAGCCACAGCAGTTTTAAATTTGGGAACAAATCAGAGAGGTTATATATTTAAGTTAGGATTTGCTTTGACCATGCCCAGGTTCCAGTGCAATAAGCCATCAACAAGTTTGCAGACTACAAAGACTGCATTCATACAGTACACCAGGGGTCTTCAAACTTGGCCCTTTTATGACTTGTGGACTTCAACTCCCAGAATTCCTCAGCCAGAAATAAAAGGGCCAAGTTTGAAGACCCCTGCAGTACGCTAAGCTCAACCACAAAGCACATTATTGCTTAGTAGGAAGTGTAGACCTGCTCTGGGAATACATTGTATTGAATAAACAATTGATAGACTTAGCACATCATAGGCAAACCACAGAGACTACAATACACTAAGCCCATACCATAGAGAATCAACTACATTTTGTGTGTATGCTAAACAGAACTGGAGGTCTACCTGAGGGAATGGGCCAACTTGCCACAGCCAACTCGCCATGAGACAATTCACTGTGCAACAATTTAACAATTCTTTTTAATTATTTAAAATAAATACAAAAAAATATTTTAATTTTTGTCAATCCCATTTATTCTGTCCCTCCTTTCCCATCCTTGCTTTAATGATTCTATTCCACCATTTTTTTTTGTTATTAGTGTAACTTTTGTCCAGCAACAAGTTGTCCTGTGGCGAGTTGGCAATGGCGAGTTGACTGGGATGAGTTGGCCGTGGCGAGTTGGCCACGGCCAATTGTCATAGACCCCTTCCTGATGGGGGCAGGAAAGACTTAGGTAGTACCTGTAGATGGAAGATGCTGGGCAGCGAAGGTGAGCGATGGCTTTTTGCTGGGGGTGGTAGCTGGTAAAGACCAAGAATGGTACCCAGTATGGCTCCTCTTGGCCGATCAAGTATGTGTCACAGGGCATTTGGCAGGCTTCTATCCTCAGCTCTGGTTCCCGTTGTGGCAACATCAAATACTTCTGCCTGGCTATCCCACAAGGCAATGGCCTTTCCTCCTCAGAGTCCACCGCGGTCATCTGGGCATAACAAAACCCCACTTGCTTCCGTTCCCCAGGATGACCACAGTGGTCGCAAGACTGCCAAGGGCTCCAGGAGGTGAACAGGGTGGCCTGCGTTCCATTTACTAGCTGCACCGTAGCATTGCTCAAAGTGGCTTCTCCTAGGCTTGCATGTGACACATGGAGACGCCCGGCATTCTGAAAATCAACGTCATAATAGCCGAGGGTGGCGTCTCCTGCACGGCAGGTGTACAGGCCAGAATCTTCTGTACTGGGACTTGGGATATACAGGCTGCTGGCGATCAGTCGGGATTTGAAACGTAGTCTCTGCAGCTTGGCGTGGCTAAACAAGGGCCAAGAAGTCCCGCCTGAGCGCAAGAAGGTGAGTGGTTGCTCCCCGGTCCAAGATGGGTCAAGGTATTGCCAAGTGATATGGCCTTTGTATGAAGAGCGTGGACAACGTAGCATCACGGGGTTTTCAGAGATAAATGCTAACACGCAAGGATGGCCAGGGAGGCAGGGCTGGCCCAGGGAGTGGCCTTCATAATGGCTACCTTCAGTGATGGTTAAGAACAGACCCAGAAACAAAGCCCACAAGGGTGCCCAACCGGACATGGCAAGCTGGGTACTGACCTATTAAGAAAACTCAGGGAAGGGAAAAAAATCCAGCTGTGACACCACTCCTGATGTCACAATAGGCAGAACAATGCCACTGTTAAAACTGACCTTGTTCTGGAAGACTGGATCCCACCCAGACACAGTACTGATTCAGCATCTTGGCTGAAATTATTATTATTATTTTTTTAAAATCTAGTGGCAATTTTATTTCCTTTTGAATGTTTTGCTATATAAAATGCATATCCTGGAAGCCGAGATAACAAGACCGCTTTATATTATTCATATTTTTAAAACGAGATTGTGTATCAAAGAAATCTTTAAAAACCACTTTGAAAAAATTTCAACCCATAGAAAACTTTTTTTAAAAAAAAACATACTTGGAAACACAAAAGTAATACAACCAATAAATAACAAGCAGAGATGCTTCAACGTTTTAGCTTTTCCACCATTTAAATTCCAGCCTCCGGACCAACAGTCTTTTTTGTTTAAAAAAAGAGAAAGAAATCAATCAAAACTCGTAAACTTTCACCTTTCCTGGCATTTGAAAGTTGTGTTTTTTTCCCCCGTCTTAAGCAGTACCTGGGCAAGTTCACTTTTCCTTGGGAAGGGGAGCCAGAGAAGGACTTCCCAAAGTTTCTCTTCTCTCCCCCCCCTTTCCCCAAATAGTTCGGCTCCTTCTCAATACATTCAAGGGCGTCTTGAGGCTTAACCATCGCCCCGAGAGGGGGAAGACCCGAAGGCGGACCTTCGTTCTTACTTCCCCCCCCCTAATTATTCAGCTCGCCCTTAAAAGTGAACCCGAGGTTAAGAAACGAGTGAGTCGGTTTCCGAAAGAAACTTCCCCGTGACTAAGCCTTGGCGGAGGCGACCCGCTTCCCTGCGAAGGAGTTGGTAGCTTCCGTTCCTGGGGCGAGGCTGTGAGGGCAGCAGCACCTGAGGCGCGCACCGAGCGCGGCGCCCAGCAGCGTCGGAGGCGAAGCGGAGCGAGCTGCGGAGTCCCGCTGAAGAACTCCGAGGGCAAGGCGGGATTGGCAACGAAGGAGTCCGGGGGCCATTTATTTACCCCAGTCTCCTTCCCTCTTTTTTTTCCCCCCGCGGAGCGGACCGACTCAAAGTCCGTACAAAGGTTGGGAAATGGAGACTCGGAGGGCGCGTCAGACGGCCGCGCTGCCCCTGTTGTGGTTCTTGGGCACCGCTTGGATTTTAGGTGAGCGAGTGAGAGGGAAATGGGGTGGTGGTGGTGGTGGTGGTGTTTTTTCCCGCTCGCCCCCGACGGCGAGACCCCTCCGCCCTCTTGCCCCTCCGCCCTCCTCTGAGGGGGAGACTCCTCGGGGAGCCCTGCTTTAGGGCGCAGGGGTGAGGAAACTCGAGAGCTGATTGGTCCATCGCCACGGGCCCTCCGCCAATCGCTTTCCCCGCTGCTTCTCCCGCGCGGGACTCCGCCGCGGGGGAACCCGAAAGGGTCGCGCCTTTTTTTTCCAAGCCCCCCCCCACCGTTCGCCCCCTCCCCCATTGCCGCCGGCCGTCGTGGTGCGGTGAGATCTTTCTCCCCGGGGGCGACTCTCTGGAGACGGGCAGGAGGAAGCGGCGCTTTTCCCGGACAAAGCAGATCTGCACCTGTTGACTTGCGCGCACGCAACCTGTTGAATTGGGAGTTTGAATTCACCCGCTTTCTAGGGTTCAACATCCCAATGGGGGGGCTTGTAGACAAGGGATCCTTTAAAAAAAAAATATCAATCCAGTCTGCGGAGACTCACTTAAAATGAACCCGATGAAGAGGTCAACGCAGCTTTGGGGGTGGTTAACGGAGGTGGGGTGCAGTGACTTAGAATATAGAATAACAGAGTTGGAGGGGACCTTGGAGGTCTTCTAGTCCAACCCCCCTGCTCAGGCAGGAAACCCTTTACCATTTCAGACAAATGGCTGTCCAGTCTCTTCTTAAAAACCTCCAGTGTTGGAGCATTCACTGCTTCTGGAGGCAGGTTGTTCCTCTGATTAATTGTTCTAACTGTCAGGAAGTTTCTCCTTAGTTCTAGGTTGCTTCTCTCCTTGATTAGTTTCCATCTGTTGATTCTTGTCCTGCCTTCAGGTTTTCAGGTGCTTTTGGAGAATAGCTTGACTCCCTCTTCTTTGTGGCAGCCCCCCCCCCGGAGATATTGGAACACTGCTATCATGATGTCACTCCTTTTTTATTAAACTTGTTCTCAGGCGTGTTCTGAGGTTGTGATGATGCGATGGTACGAAGGCGGTAATGCGCCTGGGGTGGAGACTTAGATCTGCTTTTTGTGAATGAGCATCTGCACATTCATACTGTCATTGTGTTTCTCTGCTAGATATCCCACCTTTCCACCAGAATCATACATAACATTTGCTCCAATTTCTCTCCAACAACAACTCTGCAAAGTACAATATGCCGGGCTGAAGGATATTGACCAGTCCAAAGACAGTGAATTTCTGTGGTTGAGAATGGACTTCAGTCTGGTTTCCTTAGCCCCTTAATCACTATAATCAACCATATTGGATGTTACTGGTGATAAAGTGTTTTCTTTCCAGCCCTCCCCAAGCCGTTCTTTTCCAACTGAAGCTAGCTAGTTGCCTTCCTCTTCACAGGGAAAATGTCCTTGGCTCTTCTCAGGTCAAGATTTCTTTTTATATATTATTATCTGGCTTATAGCCCAAGAAAGGAGGAAAATGCTTCCCCCCCCTACTTTTCCTGTTCGTCATTTGCCTTTGTCTTGCCTGCTGGAAGGAACAAAGAATATACCCTCCAGGGAAAGGAAATGGGGTGGTTTGAAGAAGCCGTGGCTTTTCCCCTTCTTCACGCTTCTACCAATAATGCAAAATTAAATGTTTTCCAACTCTGTCTAAGGACAGAAAGTATAGTTGTGAGGTTCTCCACCTAGAGCCAAAGACACAGCTTGTCCGCAGTATTCAGTGTTACTACCATAAAACTTTATTTGGGTAGCTCTACAGTAAGGGCCTTAAAAAGCATTTGAAATGCAAGATTTGAAGCCAAAATAATTCCTTTATGCTTTTGCTTAGGTTGTTTTTCACATCCTAGTACTAGGCAGGTTGATCAACACATGGCAGGGTGTGTCGTGTTTGGCATATTATCATTTTCCTGCAAGGTAAACATACGACCTATGGAAGAGAAGAATTAGCCAGCTCCTAACCCTTAATCCTCTGAAAAGGGGGGTGTTTCAGGAAGAATCAAGGAACTTTTTTGGTTTTTGTGGCAAGACCTCCTATGTGTTTGTTTGAAATCTGTAGGTGTGCCCTTTTAGACTTGTCTTCCTGGAAGGCTGATGACTGATCCAGACTAGAGCAGCGTTTGTCACACACACACACATACATCGAAACTGCAGGTCCTTTGTGGGAGGAAACTGATCCTAGTGCCAACCCCTTTTCAGGCTGGAATGAAACCACAAAAACAAATAAAACGAGTAGAGGAGACTATGAGCACGAGATAAGCATGGAGGCAGACTAGCTTTGTCAGAACAAAACTTGTTAGTCAGAACAAAATTTAGAAAGTAGAAAAGTGAAAAAGGTTTTCTTATTGGACAATTGAAAAAAGCCAATGTAAAAATAAAACTTGCCATTATTTTGCAAAAGTGGAAAATGCCTTGCGATTGGCTGGTAAAATATAAGCAGGGCTCTTCTAAGAGGTTTTTGATCTTTTGAACGTTGTTCCCCAAAGAGCAATAAAGGTGTGACTGTCTGTCTTTTTCTACCAAATAAAAGCTGATTTACTCTTCCAAGCTTTTTTCAGTGAATATTGATATATTTGGAGAGTTTATTGCAGGCGGTCTTTTGTGACATTGTTTTGTTTTTTTATTGGGTTCATACAACCCACTAAACCAAATCCAGGGCAACTACTTTATGGTTTAGCTATTCAACTATAATAGAATTTGAGCTTGAAGTAGAATGTTGTGCGAACATTGTGATTAGTCAGCTATACTTTATTGTATACATTTTATTGAAAACCCTGAATTATATATGAGGTCTGAGGATACAGGGGGAGAACCATCTTTTAGCTTAAGGATTGAATCAGGTTTTGTTTGGATGAGGGAGGAAGTTTCAGGAGTTTTGAACAATGAGATATAAATCTTAAAAAGTATTGCTGATTTCTCTGTTTAAAACCCCCAACCCTCTGAAAAAAAGAAACAAGGGACCCAAAGTCTTGATTTTTTCTGTTCTTGGTAGGGCTCTGGAAGACACAAAGGAGAGATTAGCATCTTGTACTTTTTACACTTTGCCTTAGAATACCAGACTTAAATTAATACAGGACTGACATTTGTTAAGCTAGAATTTTTGTTGTCTGTTTTGTAAGACCAGGCTAAAAACTGACTACCCTGACATCTCTGAATAGTGGCAGCATCCTCGCTGAATGAAAGAAATAAAGATCTTGGTAGGTTGGTAAGCTGTTCACTTATTTACCTTTCATAACAAAGAATTTCTGAGAATCAACCTGACAGGCATCCCGGAAAGTAGATTTTTAATATTGTGCAGTAGATGCATCTTTGCAGTTTAGATCCCTTGAAATTTATTTTCAGGACTTGTAATGAATAGTAGCTCAAATTGCCGGGGAGGATGGTAGATGCACCTTGGTTCTGAACTTTGAAGTGTTATAAAAAGCAAGGGAATCTTCTTTCTTTCCTCTTTGTCCTTCATAAGCTTGATTTAGATGTGTCCGCAACTGGTGAACACACATCTATGCTGTGAAGGGGTTGATGGGTAAGTATAGGTTGCAGATGGTTGCAGACGGCTGATGTGCACACACCTCAATTCTCAACTATGTGTTTTGTGGAGATGTGCATGCTGCATGTTTATTGGCTGATCCAACTTCCTGTTGGAAGGTGGGGAGGAAGTCAAGGCTCATTCAAACGTCTAATTGTCATAATTAAATGGCTGAAAATGTATACGGTCCTGAAATGATGATGATGGTGATGATGATGATAATGTTGGAAGGGACTTTGGAGGTCATCTAGTCCAACTCC